TAGTTTTTAATCCCGTCTTATCGGTACTGTATGCCATCAATAATATGGTTGAAGGTTGAGTTTTGGGCCTCTTATCTTAATACAGTGTTGAATAACAGTACTCATGAAACTCCTCGTTTATCAGAGTATATTTTATATTTCCTCTTTTTTCTCTTAACCCAGTCCTAAATTTGTTATGGTAGAGAGAGAGAGAGAGTGTGTGTGTGTGTGTTCCCTTTTCAAAGGAGATATGTCTGCACTCTTTAAGGCCTCCGGTATTTCATCTAGATCTAGGCTCTTTCTCCAAGGAATACTGAAGGCTCGTGCTAGTGGTACTTCGCACTTCTTTATGAATAGAGCATTCCATGAATGTGGTCCAGGTGCTGAGGGAGTGGTGGGCATGCTTTATATTTCTTTTTCGAAAACTATTGAATTTGTACTAATATCAGTTAGTTGGTCTACGCGGCCTTCTGTTGGAGTGAAAAATGTTTCTGCATTTTCTGCCTTGCTGCTGTCATGTAGTGGGTTGCTGAACACAGACTCATGCTGTACTTTTAGGATTTCACTCATTTCCTGTTCATCATTATACTAATCTCCTCTCTATAATGGTCCTATGCTTGGATTTTGCATAGGAATAGAAATATTTTGATTTTCTTGCGATATCCTGTATGGCCTTTCGTTCCCTTTGTATTTCTTGTTATGTATGACATCCTAAGTTTTTGCTCTGATTCAGTGATTTCTCGGCTAAGACTATTTTTCCTCTGTTGCAACATATTTGTGTTTTTAAGCAATTCAGTAGCCCGTTTTCTTCTTCTGTACCATCTCCTACGTTCTCTCTCTATATCTGACCTTCTGGGTTTCCTCAATGTTACGTGCTACATACATACCTTGTATGCTTCTATATTCAGCTTCTCTAGGCACTGGTGGGAATTTGGAGTGCGCATGTCTGAATTCCAGGATATGTCTGACAGCTCTTGGTTTATTTTTCCCAGTCAATTCTATGGTTGTTAAAATTAAACTCACTGAACATCCCGTATCTAACATTAGTGATGCAGTTCCCTAACCCTGAGTTAATACTCGTTTGTACTCCTATGATGTTGTGGTCATAGTATATTGTTTTTGTAACTGTTATGTCTCTGATTAGTTCCTCGTTGTTTGTCAATGTCAAATCCTGGGTATTTTCATTTCTAGTGGGATCAAATATCTGTTCGTTCACTGAGTACTTTTCACAAAGCTTCATTAGTTGCCTGGTCTTTGCCTGTTGAGCCAGGCTGCTTCCTGGAGATACTTCTGGTATTCTACAGAGTACATTCAGGGTATGTTGAAAATGGTATATGATACCGACGAAATGAAGAGTAAGACACGTACGCAACAGTTAGGTATCTTTATTGTTGACCGAAACGTTCCACCTACACAGCAGGCTTCTTCAGTCAAATACAGAGGCAGCAAGCGTGGTAACGAAGTAAAGATGTAATCAGTCCATCAACCTACTGCTACGTCATAGAGACCTTGCCGCTTCACCTCCTGCAGTATTTAAAACTCCATTCCTATGCTTCAGCTTCACACTGTTCCAGACTGAGAGACTGACCACCTCAAAAATGTTTTCTCAGGGAGTGATGGACTGATTACATCACTTTTACTTTGCCACCACGCCTGCTGCCTCTGTATTTGACTAGAGATGCCTACTGTGTAGGTGAAACGTTTCAGTCAACAATAAAGATACCCAACTGTAACTTGTACGTGTGTCTTAGGGTACATTCAGAGTATACTGTGGCAATGAGAGATCGCCGTACATTTCCTATTGCGGTTCTCTCTCGTGTCTCAAGATTCACTGTGAGCGCACAACATTCTAGGCGTAAGAAGCACTTTAAAATGTTCCATCATTCGCATGGCTATTCGTTTAAGTTATTATAATCCAACCTATCATTTTCATGGTCTTTACTATACTTGCCTTACTGTTTTCTAAACGATATGTCACCTGGAATTACTATATCCTTTACCTGTTCCATTCGTTTCATGAAAAGGTCTGACTGCACTGTTTATCCTGTTCTTTGAGCTCCTCATTCATTGCATATCTAAACAGTAGGAATTTGTCCCAGTTAAGTGTATCACATTCTTTTCTTCAGTGGAAGATTTGTTGAAATTATGTATTTTTCGTATCTTCATCAGAGGCAACTTGGATACTAATTAGTGTTATATTTGGCTGTTATGAGACTCGAACAGTGTAAGTGCCTGAACTATGCCTTGAGATAATGATTTTATTTTGCAAACACTGGACTGTGCTTCGTTTGCTATCATTCTTTGGGATAGGTTTGTTAGAAATTTTAACATCAATTTGTATGCCTTTTAATTTCCTTTTATATGCTATAAAACTATGGTCGCAGTTGTCAAAGCCTTTGAAAAACTCGTGTATACAGTATTTTCATTTTAATTTTAACAGTGATAGACAGGATCTTCCTAACTGAAAACTATGTTCTTTGGCTTTCCATAAAACTAGTAATTTTAACTCTGATCACCAGCATTCTGCAAGAATTTCCTAGAGTATGTAATTTTAGTGGGACTGACCTGTAGTCTTCTCCATCGCTCTACAGCCTCGTTTGTGATGTAAAGCTATGTATGTCAGCTATTTCAAAGGCGTCTGTTATCTAAGACTTAACTCATTCTATAAACTACTCTGAATGTCTTTTTTTTTTTTAATACATTCCACGAGTCAGATCTTTGCGCAGAAGTTATGCGCATGATGTCAATTTCTTTCTCGAAGGTTGCAAGATTTGTGTTAATATCAGTCATGTCATTTGTAGGATGAGCCGATAATATTAAAAAAAACTGTCGACTAAACTGTTGAATATGGATTTATACTATTTTTCCACGAATATTTTTATTTCTGTATCGTCGTGGAAGTGCGCACCTTCAGCACGGTCCAATACTAGTACACACCAAAAATACTGAAAGTTTCTTTCTATATCTTGAATGATATTTCTTTTTTTCTCTCAATTTCCTTTGTCTGATGTTAGTGCTTTTGTTTTCTCTTAATCTTATTAATTCTGTTTAAGACCTGTTTCCTTTGCTCAGATTTGATGTTCATAGTAGAGACTTCTGCACTCTCACTCACTCTCAGCTCTTAAGTCTTTTGAGTCAAAGATGTTTTATGCAGACAATTTTTTTTAATCATGCTGGCAGCCACTGGTGTGAGACTAGTGCGTTATGAGGGTTTCCCGAGTTTATGTGACACAATTCTTCTTTGTTGTTTCACTTAACACACTTATTGGAAATGAACTGACTTCACCACGTGAACATAAATTTTTTTTTTTTTTTTTGCAATGCAGCATTCTTATTGGCTATTTTCAGTCCCAGTACTTTTATGTATGTCAGATTACTCAGAGGTTAAGTAAATATTTCATAAAATTGTCTACTAGGAATATTAAATACATCTTGCACTGTCACATCTATATACTATTATTATTTGGTACTGAGACTTGACTAAGACATCACTGGTATGAGTGTTTGTGAAGATTACAAATACTCAAATTATGAAAAGAGCTTTTCTTCCCCACTGCCTTTAATCTTCCATGGCGGAAAAAAATATTGCTTTAAACAGTGGATTTTGTTGGTACCTGTGCTAGTGTTCGACTTGTATCTGGATGGTGTTCTGGGGGTCAAACACCTCCGTGGTCTAGCCCTTGACCAGGCCTCCCGGTGGATCAGGGCCTCATCAACCAGGCTATTACTGCAGCCCGCAAGCAATCCAACATGCGAACCACAGCCCGACTGATCAGCCCCTGACTATAGTGGGGTGACTGACGTATACATCCCTTTTATCTATGTAGTATTAGCTGTCTCCCGAGAGAACCTTCACTAAGCTTCACATTGTCCACAATGCAGGTGGCTCACTCACCCAAGGGAATTTCCACTCCTTTCTCAACATATTGTGCACAGCCCAGGTGATACACTAGCTCTGCCTACAACAGCATCCGTATACTTACTACTGTATTTTACTGAAGTCTTTTCCACCACTCCATGAATCTCTTATACTTAGACTTTAATCTCAGCTTTTTTTACCTATATTTTTCTTAACACATGCTCATGTGAGTAATCATTGTCTTACTATGTAAAAAATATTCAGGAGTGTCATATAGCATGGTGAGGAGGTTAGTACAAGTGGGACCAGGAGAAAGGCAAGTGCTGCCACCATAGTCTGGGCATCACCCTACCTGACCTACACCCTCTCAACATACAGTGTGGGCATCACCCCATCTGACCTACACCCTCTCAACATACAGTGTGGGCATCATCCCATCTGACCTACACCCTTCAATATAGTGTGGGCATCACCCCACCTGACCTACACTCTTCAATATAGTGTGGGCATCACCCCACCTGACCTACACTCTTCAATATAGTGTGGGCATCACCCCACCTGACCTACACCCTTCAATATAGTGTGGGCATCACCCCACCTGACCTACACCCTTCAATACAGCGTGGGCATCATCCCACCTGACCTACACCCTTCAATATAGTGTGGGCATCACCCCACCTGACCTACACACCACAGCCGTAGCCTCCACAACAAAGACTTACTCAGCTCTTATTTAAGCAGTCAAAAATTTTAAAATGCAAGCTTTAATGTTTTACAAAAAAATCTGAATAATAATATGTACACACACACTTAAGAAATATTCATGCAGTATCATAATAGCTAGCTTAAACTATATCATGCAAGGAAACACAAATAGCAGCAAGTAGACACCAGTAAATAAGCGTGCAATATAATTTCTAAATCTACAAACATGCGGGTATACATAAACACACTTCACTCCCGACACTCGGACAAGTATACCAGTGCGCGCGCGCACACACGCACACGCACACGCACACACACCACACACCACACACACACACACACACACAACACACACACACACACACACACACAAATACATCTAATGCTAGAGCTCCTCCGGCCAAGGTGGGCACCGAGGGCATTTAAAGAACATAACAAGAGATGGAGAGAGACACACCTGCGCTCGATCTCGCAGTGGTTCTCCCTGGGGACAAACAAACAACACACATTATTACACAGCAATGTTCACTGCCCATCAGCATTAATCTCATGTTATTACTGCAAAGGAGGGATAGGGCCCTTCCAAGGTAAGACAGGACCCAAAGGAGGGGAGAAAGGAGGACACCTACTACCATCAACAATGAGGTGCTTCCTTACACTTTAATACTAACTCATTCGATATATTTCTGCAAAATTCACCCAGTTCCATCCCGCACTGCGAGTCCCAGGACTTACCACTGAGGACCAAAGCCTTTAGCGTATTTAGTGGAGCAGTGTAGCATGATAATGGTGCGTGGAGCATAGGTGTATGCGTGCGTGGCGGCAGGGTTCTCAACGCCTCGTTTAAGAGGAGTATGCTTGGGCGCACGTGCGTATTACTTCGTACCAACACCAAGCACATTGACATGTACGCCGTCGTTTAATGCCGGTAAAACTGCTGCGTGACATATTACCACATACTCAAGCAAGCTACTCCCAGCTGGGAAAATTACCAGCTTCTCCAAGACCACCACCACAGGAACACCAGGGGCGTCTCCGACCCTTACTACTACACTTGGGAAGGTAGGCAAGGAGGGAATAGAGGAGATTATTATTATTATAATCAAGGGGGAAGCGCTAAACCCGGAGGATTATACAGCGCCTGGGGGGGGGATGTGGAAGGCATTCAGGCTTAATTCGGGGAACTGGAGCACAGATCTAATTCCCTAAATCAAGAGCCCCTCACCAACATCAAGGAACCTTCCTTGAGGGGGGGAATAGAGGAGAGTAGAGAGGGTGGGAGAAAGAGGGAGAGGGGGAGGGGGAGGGGAGGGGGAGGGGAGGGGGGGGGAAGGGGGGAGGGATGGGAGAGGGGGGGAGAGAGAGAGAGAGAGAATGGGCCATTGCTAAATGGGAGATGGACACAAAAAGAAAGCTAGCATCACGTAGAGTAAGCGCCAAAACCTGGTGGTCCTTGGTCAAAGAGAGACAAGGTTATCTGCCTGGTGAACTCATTCCACCTCTAAATCGACAGGATGGGACCACCTCTACTAGTAGTCAAGAGAAAGCGGACCTCTTTGCCGAACACTTTGCTACCAAAATGCAAGTTCCTGATTCAGCAAGGGACCCTCCTTGGCTAGCTGCAAAAACTGTGTCAAAACTGTGGTGACAATAAGGCAGGAGGAGGTGTATTTCCTTCATAAATCGTTTGACCAGGAAAAGGCAAGTTGAGTCCAAGATTGCTGAAATGATGTGCAGACCAGCTAGCAGCACCTCTAACTCGCGCCTTTCAGCACTGCCTAGTACAGGGTAAATGGCCTCTGTGGAAAGAGGCAAATGTAGTCCCTGTTCACAAAAAGAAGAGCAGAACAGAAATCAGCAACTACAGACCAGTGTCACTCCTGTCAATCACTGGCAAGACCCTTGAGACAATGATCTCCAGACAAATGACAGTTTCTTTTGACTACCACTCACTACTTTGTGACCATCAATATGGCTTCAGGAAAGGTTACTCTGCTGCTGATCTGTTGTTAAACCTCTTCACTAAGTGGCACCAGTCACTGGTCGCACTGGACATTGCTGGTGCTTTCGACCGGGTGTGGCACTAGGGCCTCTTAGCAAAACTGCAAGCACTGCGATTGCAGGCTCTACGCTATGTCTCCTCAGTGATTACCTTCATGGTAGATCTCTAAGGGTAGTTCTCAATGGAACGGAATCAGCAAGACATCCTATTGGGGCAAGTGTTCCACAAGGAAGCGTGCTGGGACCATTGTTATGGAATGTCTACTTCAATGACCTTCATTTCATCCCAGAATCCTATGTATATGCAGACGACTGTACAATGACATTCACTTATTCAAGAGAAGAAATGCCAGCTGCTCTAAGCGACATCAATCACCAGCTAAGAGCTATATCAGCTTGGGGAAACAGATGGCAAGTAACATTTGAACCTGAGAAAACACAAATGATGATGGTCTCTAGGCACCATGATGGTAATGCCGGTGCAGTAGTAAGCATTAATGGGAGGGTGTTGGTACCTGGGGAAGAAGCTGATATCCTTGGAGTGAAATTTGCCTCCAAACTGACCATGAGGAACCATGTTGTAAATTTTGCAAACAAGGTAGCCAGGAAGCTTACAGCACTTCGCCGTATCTCGCATCTGCTTGACAGTAGGGGTTGCAAGATTCTGTATGAGGCATAAGTACGCTCACACCTTGAGTATGCTCCACTTTCTTGGTTTGCCTGCCCCCCCCCCCTCTCATCCGCGACTGTTTGACAGAGTAGAAAACAGAGCAAGACGTCTCATCTTTCGCCTGAATCCATCCTGGATAGATCTGTCATTTCAGCAGAGCCTTCAACACAGGAGGGATGTGGGAGGCCTTACTTTTATGTACAAGGCCAATATTGTCAAAGTACCACATTGGATCCACTTCGAGGACAGTGAGAAGCAAGCTTCTATACCACAAGACGGGCAGAAAGCAGCAACTTCATTCTGGCTGTACCCTTCTCCAGAACATCACTTCATCTGCGATCATTTATCCCCAGGATGACTCAAGTCTGGAACACATTCGTACAGCATTATGATGTCAACAAGATAAAGTCAGTAAAGTCAGTTGATCAAAGGAAAATGCTGGCCGACAGATGGTTCCAACTTCATCCTGTTCCCTACTAGTATGTTTCATAACAATAAAAATACTTGTATGTTTCATTACAATAAAAATGCTTTCAAATGAGCTGATGTAGGTAACAGCTTCTAGATTGTCAATAAAGTTAGGAATACTTAACCTGTAAATAGTTTGTCAATAAAGCTAAGGGATTCTTAACCTAACCTTGTCAAACCCTGTGTAAAAGAGAGAGAGAGAGGGGGGTAAGGATGAAGGAAACAAAGGGGCAAGGAGGAGGGAATAGAAAGAGGGGGAAGAGAATGGAAAAAGGGAAAAGAGGGAAGGGAGGGGAGAGAGGAAAAGGAGGGAACAGATGGGACGACGACGACGAGGAGCTACTGACGACGACGAGGAGCTACTGACGACGACGAGAAGCTACTGACGACGAGAAGCTACTGACGACGACGAGGAGCTACTGACGACGACGACGAGGAGCTACTGATGACGACGAGGAGCTACTGACGACGACGAGGAGCTACTGACGACGACGACGAAAAGCTACTGACGACGACGACGAAAAGCTACTGACGACGATGTGGCGAGGAGCTGCTGACGACGATGACGAGAAACTACTGACGACGACGACGAGCTACTGACGACGACGACGAGGAGCTACTGACGATGACGAGGAGCTACTGACGACAACGGCGACGAGGAGCTACTGACGACGACGACGACGACGAGAAGCTACTGACGACGACGACGAGGAGCTACTGACGAAGATGTGACGAGGATCTACTGACGACGATGTGACGAGGACCTACTGACGACGACGACGAGGAGCTACTGACGACGACGAGGAGGAGCTACTGACGACGAGGACGATGAACTACTGACGACGACGAGGAGGAGCTATTGACGACGACGAGGAGCTACTGACGAGGACGACGAGGAACTACTGACGACGACGAGCTACTGACGACGACGACGAGGAATTACTGACGACGATGTGACGAGGAGCTACTGACGACGACGACGACGAGGAGCTACTGACGACGACAATACGAGGAGCTACTGACAAGACGAGGAACTACTGACGACGACAAGACGAGGAGCTACTGATGACGACAAGACGAGGAGCTACTGACGACGACAAGACGAGGAGCTACTGACAAGATGAGGAGCTACTGACGAAGACGAGGAGCTACTGACTACGACGCCGACCTGACGAGGAGCTACTGACGACGACGACGACAAGACGAGGACCTACTAGGGACCAGACGAGGAGCTACTGACGACGACGACGACGACGACAAGAAGAGGGGCTACTGACAACCAGGATGGTGAGTCTCTGGTGGCGAAGATGGTGAGTGTCTGGTGGCCAAGATGGTGAGTGTCTGGTGGCCAAGATAGTGAGTGGTGGCCAAGATGGTGAGTGTCTGGTGGCCAAGATGGTGTGTCTGGTGGCCAAGATGGTGTCTGGTGGCCAAGATGGTGAGTGACTGGTGGCCAAGATGGTGAGTGTCTGGTGGCCAAGATGGTGAGTGTCTGGTGGCCAAGATGGTGAGTGTCTGGTGGCCAAGATGGTGTCTGGTGGCCAAGATGGTGAGTGTCTGGTGGCCAAGATGGTGAGTGTCTGGTGGCCAAGATGGTGAGTGTCTGGTGGCCAAGACGGTGAGTGTCTGGTGGCCAAGACGGTGAGTGTCTGGTGGCCAAGACGGTGAGTGTCTGGTGGACAAGATGGTGTCTGGTGGCCAAGATGGTAAGTGTCTGGTGGCCAAGATGGTAAGTGTCTGGTGGCCAAGATGGTAAGTGTCTGGTGGCCAAGATGGTAAGTGTCTGGTGGCCAGGATGGTGAGTGTCTGGTGGCTAGAATGGTGAATGTCTGGTGGCTAGAATGGTGAGTGTCTGGTGGCCAAGACGGTGAGTGATGGCCAAGTTGGTGAGTGTCTGGTGGCCAAAATGGTGTCTGGTGGCCAAGATGGTGATTGTCTGGTGACCAAGATGGTGAGTGTCTGGTGACCAAGATGGTGAGTGTCTGGTGACCAAGATGGTGAGTGTCTGGTGACCAAGATGGTGAGTGTCTGGTGACCAAGATGGTGAGTGTCTGGTGGCCAAGATGGTGTGTGGTGGCCAAGATGGTGTACTGGTGGCCAAGATGGTGAGTGACTGGTGGCCAAGATGGTGAGTGTCTGGTGGCCAAGATGGTGTGTCTGGTGGCCAAGATGGTGTCTGGTGGCCAAGATGGTGAGTGTCTGGTGGCCAAGATGGTGAGTGTCTGGTGGCCAAGACGGTGAGTGTCTGGTGGCCAAGACGGTGAGTGTCTGGTGGCCAAGACGGTGAGTGTCTGGTGGCCAAGACGGTGAGTGTCTGGTGGACAAGATGGTGTCTGGTGGCCAAG